TTTCTTCCACACAGATGCTAGACCTCGAGGGCGGACATAAGGGTTATTTGCATGTTTGGATGCTGCTAGGCTTTCACACTGAGGGATGATAATGTACACGTTGGTCTCAGAAAAAGTTATAATGATTAAGGGAACTAAATTTGCTAACAGAATTAGAAAATTTTATGCTACACCAAGGGAATATTTAAAAAGGTAGCAGAGAGAGTTACATCTTGAAATATTTATACGTATGTATATATACATGGGTTAGTATACACACAATATTTCCTAGTTCAACCGAGAGGGCTGAGCAGCGATGGCACCGCAGTACAATGAGCACATCTAAGGCCTAGATCTTGATTTCTAATATCATTCTGCCATAAAAGGCACCAGGACTCCTTGGAGAAATGGCTGATTCTAGGATTGAGGAAGGAGATATACAAGATGAGCCAGGAGCATCTTGTAAGAGGAAAGTAAGGAAATGCTCCCAAAAAACCAAAACCAAACAAACAAAACAACACAAAGATGTCAAAGGGGCATAGGAGCCAACTGAAAAAGCTCCCAATGGCCACTGGGACAAGGTGAACAGGAAAGTAAAGTAGGGCATTAAATTTGCTATCAGGATTCAAAAAGTTTATACTACACCAGAGAATGTTAAGGAGACTGTAGAGATGGTTACGTGTAGAAATATTATCATCCACCAGTGTAAACGCTAACAGCACCGAAGCATGCAAATAAAACCTATGTGAGCCCTAAAGGATTATAGTCTAAAGTATAAAGTAAATACCCATGCGTGCATACTGATATTAATCAATGATTGTATAGATAAATAAATTTGGGGGGAGAGAAATCTCCTGTGCAGAGGAACTGCACAGAATTTACGTAGATGCTTTGCTCTCAATGAGGTAGAACATAACTTCCCTCTCTGAAGGTATGGGCTACACACAGTGACTTACTTCTAAAGTTGGAAGTATGGAAATGGGGGAAAGAGTAACTTCACAGTGGAGAAACCTGACAAACACTACCTCAGCCAGGTAATCAAGGTCAACATCAATGTTGATAGTGTGTACCCTTGATAGGATGGGATGACAATGGCACTTTATCTCTGCAGTCTTCCTTCTAAAAACACATAGTCTTAGTCTTAGCATGAGAAAACCTCAGACAAATCCTAATTGAGGGGCATTCTACAAAGTACTCGACCAGTTTCTCAAACCTGTCAAAGTCATCAAAGATAAGGAAAGTCTAAGAAATAAGACGAGTCTAAAGGTACATGATGACTAAATGTAAGATGGGATCCTGGGGGCCGGCCTGGTGTTACAGTGGTTAAGTTTGCCCATTCTGCTTCAGTGGCCCGGAGTTCGCCAGTTCAGATCCTGGTTGCGGACATGGCACCGCTTGGCAAGCCATGCTGTGGTAGGCGTCCCACATATAAAGTAGAGGAAGATAGGCACGGATGTGAGCTCAGGGCCAGTCTTCCTCAGCAAAAAAAGAGGAGGATTGGCAGCAGTTAGCTCAGGGCTAATCTTCCTCAAAAAAAAAAAAAAAGATGGGATCCTGGGACAGAAAAAAGGACATTAGGTAAAAACTAAGGAAATCTGAATACATTTTGGGCTGTAGTTAAAGTATGTTACCATACTAATGTAAGATGTTAATGATAGGGGAGACCTGGTGCAGAGCACCTGGGAAATCTCTGTACCATTTGCTCAATTTCCTGTAAATATAAAATTGTTTTTAAAATAAAATGTTGTCTTTAAAAATCATATGAGAAAGCACACATAAAAAAGGAGGCTGTAGAAAATTATTCCAGATTAAAAGTTTATTTTAAAAAGGACTGTTGCACGTGACAGCCGAGAGACTTACTTCCTTTACAAAAATCTATGCACATTTTAAAAACTTAAAGTGTGATTATTGTTCAACCCAGAAATGTCACTTTTTATCACCCAACAAAAGTATTTACAAAGTATACAGAATATATAGAAAAGAATATTAATTGTAGCTATTTGCAGAAAGCAAAGAGAGGGAAACGCTTTACCTGTCCGTCTATGGGAAGGTGATTGTATGGTATTGTGGTAGGCAGAATTCAAAGGTGACCCCCAGTGACCCTACCCTTGGGTGTGGTGAAAGTTGCGAATATGATGGATTTCATTCCCATGATTAGGTTGTTACATGGCACAGCTGACCTTAAGAAAGAGAGGTTATCCTGAGTGGCCCTGACCTGATGCCGTGAGCCCTTAAAGAGGACTGGGCTCTTCCTAAAGAAATATGTAAAGCATGAGGGGCATTGCCATGAGGGGCATTCTTTGCTACTGGCTTTGAGAATGAAGGAGACCACAATGGTAAGGACTGTAGGAAGCCTCCAGGAGCAGAGAACGGCCCCCCAGCTGACAGCCAGCAAGGAAACAGAGACTTCCGTCCTAAAGCTGCAAGGAAGTGAATTCTGCCAACAGCTTTGAAGAGGACCCCAAGTCTCAGATGAGAGAGCAGCCCTGGCCTACGTGATGTCAGCCATGGGAGACCCTGAGCAGGGGACCCAGCCACTCTGTGTCAGACTCCTGAACCACAGAAACTGTGAGATAACAAATTTGTGTCATTTTAAGCTAAGTTTGTGGCGATTTGTTACACAGCAATAGGTAACTAATGTGAAGGCTGTGGAGTACTGTACAGCCATTCCAACTGGTGGGGCCCATCTGCATGTATGCACCCAGAAGGAAGCCCAAGATTGCTGCTGTTTGAATAAGGGAAGATGCAAATATATATTTTCACAAAACTAAAGCCATCTGTGAGTGGCAGGAAAAGATCCGGAATGATAACACCAAAGAGCCAGCTAAGGAGTGGGATTTGGCAGAGGAAACTTTCACTTGTTAATATGTACGTTTTTGTGTTGCTGGAGAGCTTGTTTTGGTGGAGGGTGGTTGTCTTATTTATAAGGAGCATGCATTTTGTTTCTAACTGAAAAGACAGACCAAACCTTTAACAACTCTCTGCTGGCCCTGTTGAGTCCAAACTCAGTACTTACTGAGGCCCCCCTCGATCTGGCTCCCCTGGCCTCCAGGCCTCCTCTCCCGCCTCTCCCCCAGCCGCCTTCCAGCTCCACTGCATCCCCACCTCCAGCTCCCAGAACCCACCCCGCGCTGCCTTCTGGACCTTGGCATTCCTCTTCCCTCTTTGTGCCATTCTTTCCCCCTTGTTCCTCATGAGGCGTATGGCTTCTATTCGTCCTTCAGGGCTGGTGCTTCCTGAAATATTTTCTTCCCTGTTCTTCTGGCACCATCTTCTCTATGTTTGTTTTCTGTTTCCTTTTCCTTCTTGGCCCCCTTTGCTAGCTCCGTTTCTTCTCCCTGGCCTTTAGCTTCATCCTTGACCTTCTATTCTCTCTCACCGGGCAAGCTCCTTCCCATCCACTGCTTCAGTTCCATTGCTCTGCCTCAACTCTCACACATCCACCTCTAGCTCAGACATCCCTCTGAGCATGACATTCAGAGAGCCTTCTTCAAAACGAACCCCCACACTTCTCCAGGACACAGAAACCCTCAGTAAATGACACCGTTGTCCTTCCCATTTTGTAGGACAGAGATCTGTCTTCTCTCCTTTCTGAAGCCCAAACACTTTTCTTTATTGTACTGCTCCTCCCTTCTCACCATGAGCGTGATGGCCTTGTACCTGATCCCCCTGCAAGTGCCCTGTACCTCTTCCAGAAGGCTCTTTTTTTTTTTAAGGCAACCTTTTTTTTGGTGAGGAAGATTGGCCCTAAGCTAACATCTGTTGCCAATCTTCCTCTTTTTTCTTCTCCCCAAAGCCCAGTACTTAGTTGTATATCCTAGTTGTAAGTCACTCTAACTCTTCTATGTGGGATGCTGCCACAGCATGGCTTGATAAGTGGTGTGTAGGTCCACACCCAGGATCCGAACCAGCCAACCCTGGGCTGCTGGAGCAGAGCACATGAACTTAACCATTTGGACAGGGGGCTGGCCCCTGGAAGGCTCTTCTTAAAAACACAACTCTGACATTACTCCCTACTGAAAATCCTTCAAAAGCTTCCCATGGTCCTAGGGATGAAGACTCAGCTTATCTGACCCAAGCTCACATCTCCTCTGGCCCTCTGTGCTCCAGCCTCTCTGGCATTTCAGTGCTTCTCTCCAAACGGCCTTGTTTCTGGGGCTTCTGCCCTTGCTGGCCTGGCCTGGAGTGTGCCCTCCTCACAGCCTCCCATCCCGTGGTTGGTGCCTAGTTACCATGTGTTTCCACAGAAATCCTCCTCCTCAAGGAAACCTTTCCTGATGCCCAAACTAGACCAAACCCCCGATGTGGGTGCTCAGAGCCCCTGTTCCTGTTCACAGCCCTTCTCACAGTTTGCCATGAAGGTTTAGGTAATTCATGGATTCACTAGACTGAAATCGCCAAGGCTAGGGACCCAACCTGTTTTCCTCCTTTTGTGTCCCCCAGACCTAGCGAGGACAGGCACTCAACAAATAGAAATGGAAAGTTAAGGGAGAGGAAACAGACCAGGATAAAGGGGAGACAGTCCCTGGGGTAAAGAATAACCTAGCGTGATTGGGATGCAGGCTCTGGGAAGATGGAACTGGAAAGGCCAGGTGATGGCAGAATGGGAAGCCTGCAGATGCCAGACTAAGGAATTTGGGCTGTGTTTTGTGAATCGAGGGAAGTCAGCCAAGCTTTCAGAGCAGGACAGCAGTTATATGATCAGCTCAGTGAAGACTACATGGGATGACCTAGTACATTCTAAAAAGCCTTCGACAGTCACTGGATTGATGTTGGCTATGTCTCTGAGAACAAGGGCTTCTGGAGTGGATTATATTTTCTCTGTGCTGTGCTTACCGAGTCTTTGATATTCCTACTGTAAGTTACTAACACCTGAGGACTTGCCACTAGGAGGTCACAGTGCTTCACCCATTAGCTGTTTAGGAGGCGAATAGGGCTATGACAATAGGCAGTGGAGCATTTCTGCATCTTTTTTAGCAAGGAATCCAAACATTTTTTTGGTATAATGGTTCTTTTAACAGGTGTTTACTGAAGTGAGCAAGGATTTGCTGCTATTTGGAGCCCGAGTGGCAGATGAGACCAACTTCTTGGGGCACAGTGTGAATTAAACCCTGAAGGCTGCTGCAGCAGGATGCCCAGACCACACGTAGACCACCTCCACACCTGCAGAGTTGAGGGGAGCTCAGGTAAGGGGTCCCTAATCACTCAGTGACTAGCTTGGGAGAGAACATGCTGTAACTGGAGGTGAGGCTTTGGTGGCAGTTTCGGCTTCAGAAGCCAGGTTGGGATTACTCAATCACTCCTCCCTCCACGTCCTGAGGGACCCTAGATTGTAAGCAGACCTACCTCTCTCCCTGTAACTGTGAGCGTGAAAGCAACCAGGACGTTCCTCCACTCTAAGCTGTAAAGAAACAATTAACTACAGTTAATGGCCCATAATTTGTTATTTCTGTATTCTATTCCCAAGGTTCCCTCCTAAGTTATCACCCAGGAAGAAACATAAAACTGCACATAAAACTGTGTATTTCATAGAAACAAAGGAAGAGAGCTCTTTTTTGCTTTATCTCCCTCTGATTTAAAACAATGGGTCTTCCTAGCTGGAAATGAGGCTCATTGCCTCGCATCATTACGATGCAGATGTACATATGGGACTGCCTACATAATTTGTGGGACCCAGTACAAAATGAAAATTGGGGCCCTTGTTAAATATAGTAGGAATTTCAAGCCTGCAACACAGGAGCATTAAACCAAGGGCAGGGCCCTTCTGAGTGTGGGGCCTTGTGCGACTGTAGAGGCTGCTGACACACAGAATGGTCTGAGTACCAGGAGGACGAGGGGCACTTCACCCCGAGGAGCTCAGGCACACAGCAGAGCCTCTGCAGAGAGGGGAGGGTCAGCAAAGACCCAGATGAAGCATGGAGTGGCCAGAGGGCCACTTCTGAGGGCGTGGATGGTGTGACCCAGGGCAGCATTCTCTTGGTGCTCCTCCTGGTCCTGATCTGCCTGAGGGCCCAAGGATCAGAAAAGAATCGGGGGCTGCCTTAGGACATTGGAAGGAAGGGGCGATGAATGGATGTAGAGAATGCTGGCATTGAGGAGGCATGATGGGGAGTTTCTAGGCATGGAATTATCCCTGTTTTGTTTTTATTTAATCTGAAGTAGAATATATCAAATTTAGATGAATGGTTTTTTTTCCTCTAATCTTGCTTCTCTCTTTTCTCCGTCTTGGTAAATGATCCAACTGGGTGGATCACTGTCCATCCAGTTGATCAAAGCAGAAACCGGGAGCTGTCTTTGATTCCTCCTCCTTTTTCACCTCAACACCGCTCACTAAATCCCACCAATTCTTTCAGTGGCCCTCTCTAGCCCACATATCCACTCCTCTCCACATCCACTGACACCAGCATCATTTCTGGCCATGACTATGACAATAGCCTCCTCGCTGACTGGCTTTTGAATCGTACAGACTAGGGTTTAAGTCCTCATTCTGCCACATGTTAGCTGAGTGACCTTGGGTAGGGCTCTTCACCTTTTTGAGCCTCAGTTTCCTTATGTGTAAAATGAGGATACTAATATCTATCTTAAAGGGTTGTTGTCAGGACTAAATGAAATGATGCAAGTGGCTTAGCACATAGTACGTGCTCAATGAATTAGTTCCTTCTCTCTCTTTCCCTCTCCACCCTTCAGGCCTTAGTTTAAACGTTGCTTCCTTAGGGACCCCTCTCCTGACTTGCACAGAACTCGGTGCAGCTTCCCACAGACCACCAGACTGCTCTGCAGCATTCCTCACACTTACCTGTCTTCTACCAACAGTTCTGTCCATGAGGACAAGGATCCTGGCTTTCTCTGCCTAATGAGGAGTAGGCACTCGGGTTTTATTTGACTAGTATCCTCATACACAATCAAGGTTCCTGGGCATGAGGTCCCTGTAATGTTCTCCCCTAACTGTGAGTGAGTGGGCAGATGACCACATTACATAAACAAACAATGGAGACCAAGAGTAACACATCAGATTCAGGTTAGACCCAGCGCGCTGGGGCTGATTCATCATCACAGACCCTTTCGTGAGACAGACCTGGGTCAGGGAAGGCCCACTCAGGGCAAGCCTGACAGCAGCCAGGAAACTGGGTGCTCCAGGTCAACAGAGCCAAACTTCCCTGAGAATCAGTGGAGCTGGAGCAAGGATGTGACAGCACGAGGGGCAGGACAACACTCCTGGAGAAGGAACGAAGGCGGAACTCCCTGGTTCATTGACTCAGGGCCCCCTGAGAGGTTGGGCCAACCCCTTTCTCCTCAGGCCTTGGCAGCTCCCCACTGGATGTTCTCCACTGAGGCCAATTGCATGAAGCGTGCAACTAAGGGGCCAGTGCCCTAGAAGCCCAAAGTGGGGTAGGGGGGCTGGTTTCTTTTAACTTTGTGAAACAACATACATGTAGAAAAGTACATGAAACATATCTGTAGAGACTGGTGAATTGTAAGGTGAGCATCTATGAAACCCACCACTCCGATCAAGACCCGGAGCATCTCCAGCACTCCAGAAACCCAGCATCCTCCCCAACCTGCTCGCTCCATCCCCCGAGAGATGACCAGGCCCTGGCTGTTGTAGTGACCATGTCTTTGCTTCCCAAAATAACAGTTATGTTTTACCTGGTTTTTCACTTTTGCAGAATGGAATCACACAGCACATAATTTTGTGAGAGTCATCCATGTGGTTGTGTAACTAGTTTATTCATTCGTTGCTATATTTCTGTGGATGAATGTTTCACAGATTATTTATCCCTTGTCCTGTTGATGGACATTTGTGCTGTTTCTGGCTTGTGTATTTTCTGTGCCTTAAGTGTGAGGCTTGCAGAGGTAGTGGGAGTTCGGAGTGAAGGGAAGGGAGGGAAAGAAGCAGAAGCAGCTCTGGGCATGGGGGTGGGGTAGGCAGAGGGTCAGGCAGGGCTACGGAATTGCAGAGCAGGGCTGAAGGTACCATGGAGGAAAGGGCGTCAGAGGGCTCCTTAGAAGTTTGCTCCTACTGAGACTACGGGGTGCACTTCCCCCCTGAGGGCAAGTGTTTTGCCTTCCTAAGGCCATGGTCAGGAGGTCTGGCAGGCATGGGCTTGACTCCTCCTTCTGCTGGACCTGCTGTGGGACCTGACTTCTCTACTCCCCATGGGGTGCACGGCCAGCTCTGCATGCTCAGAAAGAAGGCTGGGGGAGGCAGCTTATAGCAAAACACTGCCTTAGAAGGACAGAGGAAACACCACACACTAGTCGGGCAGTCACCTCTGGTGCCTCTCCTTCCCCAGGATAGGCACACATCAAGAGGTTTGTGTTTGGGAAGTTCAAGGATCACCCACTTGCACATCCAGATGCTAGCCAGAATGAAGGTAAGGTGGCCAGAGGCCTGAAAGGAAGGGGCCACCATTGCTGACTGCTTGCCCAGCCCTCACCTGCGCTGAAGCGAGGCTGCCCCATCTCTTGGAGACTCCCAGTAGCCTAAGGCAGAGCTCCCCACCCTAGCCAGAAAACCTGTCCCTGGCAACACTCCAGCCACAGTGGCTGAATCTGCATTATTGACAATGGGGACTGTCCTGGCTGGAGATGGCTGGGAGTCTCTACCATCCCCAGAAAGACCTGACATATTTTCCTCCTCTCTAGTTTGGCAGGTACAGGAAAGAGAAGTGCCGTTGCCTTGGAGCAGGGCAGGCTGCAGGGAAAACAAGCAGGATTCCTGCCTCCTTCACCTTCAGGCTACCCTGGAAGGCAAGTAAGGTGTGAGAACTCAGATTCCAAGCAGACAAAGTGCGAGCTTTGGCAGGATCCCACCCCCGTGATGCAAACATGCCCTATGTCCTCATGGATATTCAACAGCCTCTTGGGTTGATTGGACAAACATCCCCACAAATGAGAAATTGAAGCCGAGTAGGGTGGTCAAGGCCACACTCTAAATAAGAGAACTGGAACACAGGTCCCAGAGACCCAGGGTCAGGGCAGCCCAGAGCTGCGCACACATAGGCACGTGCCAAGGTAGACACTGAGTTCTCGCTTCAGGACAAAGGTTGTCTTGACCCCTGATGGAGTCGGTGTCTGCTGCCAGTTGATCTCAAATACAGATTGGTCCCTGTGCTAGACATGGAAACGTTATAGTTGAGTGAGGGAGTTCCATCTAGGAAACTTGGTAAATTTTGGTGAGTAGCTAATTCCTTCTTGCAACATTCGTACATCATTTAATACACTTATGGATTTTGGAAATAAATAGTCCTATGCAAACCCAATGTAATAGCAGTACTACTTTAAAATTAAGGGTTCCCTTGGAATTGCTCCTGAACCCTCCTCTACCCTGGTGTGGGCCTTCCTTTTATCCTCCACGTGGCCTCTTACTGTCCCTCCCATTTCATCTTCCCTTGCTTTCCAGCACCGACTCCCAGCTGGCCCTGACTCAGGAGAGACTGGGTATGTACCAGCAGTGGCTGGGAGTGTGGCCTCTGGAGGCAAAGGACCTGGACTCAAACCATGGCTCTGCTGCATAGTTGCTGTGTCACCTTAGGCAAGGGGATTAAGAGAGATGTTGTCTCAGTCACCTTATTTTCAAATCAGGATATAATAGTACTGACCTCACCAGGCTGATAGAATTAAATGTTAATTCATGGCAAGTACTATTTAAATAGTACCTGGGCCATAATAAATCTTAACTGTTATCATCTTGTACAGAAACCTCAAATAGCTATAGAACTGAGACCAGTGTTTGTCCTGAAAGAGACTTTCGGACCTTTTAACAAATATTTCCTGCCTTCCCTTATTCACTAAGCAGAGCACTCCGGCTCAGTTCCCCAAACCGGCCCTCCTGCCTTGGCTCATGCTGACCCAATACCACCATCAGTCGCTGTCCCTCAAGGGCAGGCTCTCTCTGGTCAGATGAGTCCATGGACTGTCTTCTTCCTTTGAGCCACATCTAACTAGTTAGCGTTCAAGTTGCTGTAGCCACTAGGTTGTGGAGGCAAGCTGAAGTCATCAGACATGAAAAGTATCCTCCAAGTGACCACTTATAAAATTACAGCCATCACAGCTCATCTCTCCTGTCTCTGCATCTAAGATTGTGAGTTGTTCTAAACTTCTGACATTGAAAATACAACAAAAATAGGTACCAAAGTACAATTAAAGTTTTGCAAAACATGTAGAATTTCATAGTCCTTAAAGTATTGTTGGTAAACTGCTCAAATGAGAGCAGTCATTGCAAATGAGGATCTGAGAGTCAGACCCATTAACAAATGAAGAGAATAGCTGCATATAACCAATTAGATGCTTCCTGGGGGATGATCTGAATATCAAAGGTCTAAAGGATTGAGAGGCCCTCAGGAAAACAGAGGCAGCCCTTGACTAACTTTTGCAAAAATGACCCTGACTGATTGCACTGTGGGAATCAAACATGAAATGATGTCCTATTGTGCAATCATGTAATTTTAGGAGGGAAATATACATAAAATATTTTTTGGTCTAAGAATTAGCCTATAGTTGCAGTAACATTTTGTTAACAGATACTTATTTTAGTAGTTTCATTTTGCAAGATAACTTCCAGTCGAGCCTTTTTCACTATTTACCATAAGAAACTCTGGTCTCCATTTTAAGTGGGTTGACTCTAAGAGGCTTTTTCAGGTCCCAGTTCTTTTTGGATAATGAGAGCCTTTTAATTTATCTGCCCAATCTTCCCTAACAGACGGCACACTCTTGAGGGCAAATGCCAGAGACAGAAATGCCATGTCACCTCATGAGGCAGTGAGGGCGGGGATGCATCTAAGTCACCAGTGAAGCCTGTGCAGACCAACAGCCCTCAATTACTTGTTAAATGAACGAGTCACCCAGTGTATCCAGAGCTGTTAGAGGCAGAGACCCATGGCTGAACCTCAGTTAGGGTCCCCAGCAATGAGGGGTGATTGTGTGACCTCAGACACTGTCTCTTGTCCTCAGCCCAGTCTGGGCTTTTCAGGCATTGGCAGTGACCTCTAAAAACCTGGAGTGCTTTGAAGGGCAGGGCTATGTGGAGGATACGAGAGTGGCCAGGGTGATCTCCTGCTGCCACCCCGCTGCCCTCCCCATCAGGCAGCACACAGGAGCCGTATGCAGTGGCTACAGGTGCCCTGGTTCATTCCTGCCTGATGTGGTTCAGAACTTCCTATGACTGTTACTGAAACCAAAGTGGGTTAGGCTCCTGGCAAGTTAAATCAGACTCTCCACCAGAAGGAGCTGTCACACAAAGTAAAGTATATTAGCAGCAGCAAATAGGAGGCCATGTGGAATCATTTCCAAAGTTGTGGCGTCCCTCAACAAAGCAGGGGCTTTTTATTTTGGATGGGGAATGAATATTCAAAAGGGGAAAGGTGGGTATTCGCTTGGGCAGGCTCAGTTGGAAAACATGCTTCCGCGTACACTGCAGGTTATGGTAATAAGGCCTAAGCTCATTCCGAGGGGAGATCCTAGCATTAAAAATAAGGCTTAGTCTTGTGATTGGTGGTTGGTGAGCGCATCTCTTAAATGCTTTCAAACCCACCCTTGAGTTCCTTGGGGAAATTAGTGACACCTTGAGCTTCATAAACAGACTGAATGATGGTACTTTTCCCAGTCCTAGGGAAGGTGGGTGGGGATTTGGGGAGGAATTCAACTGCAATCTGGAAAGAGGAGGTTAACTTCCTACTTGGGGGTGGGGGAAAGGAGAAAATTGGCACCAATGTTCACCCCTGCCCCGGGGTGCCAGCTGCTTGGGAAGGAACTGCTGATATTTTGGCGCTTTAATAGCCTCCACGCACAGGACAAAAAGCAAGGCCAGCATACAACCCGGGCCCAAGCCTCTGCCTCCATCTGTGCTGCACTGAGGTAAGGCCCACCTGGCTCTGCCGCCCCTGCCCCTCAGCCTGGAGAGCTAGCCCACGTTATGGCTCGGTCTTTAGTAGAGAACCTAAAACTCATCAGCTGTTCAGCAAAGTGAGGCCACAGCAGTCTCCAGAGGACTCGGGAGTTCTTAGACGCCTCCTCAAGTCCAACAAGCAATTTCTCTCTCAGCCTCCTTCCCGTTGCTTTTATACAATTTTAAAGCATCAGTGCAGACCTGCATCTGTTAAAAAAATTTTTAACTCTTTAATAAAATGCATATATGAACTTTAAAGTCTTTGAGTAGTGATGCATTTGCAATTTATTGTAAAATTCAGATCAGAATGCTTTAAGGTCAGAATTTTAGCTCTGTGGGGTGGCAGGCCCGGGGCAGGGTCAGTTGTCTTCTAGTTTGAATACATGGCGGAACGGAAGCACCGTCTGGCGCTGATCATTCAGGATGTCTGCCAGCAGCAAGAGACAGACAGAAATGCCATCTTACCTCATGGACAGCGCGGAGAGAGGCATTTACTAAGCAGGCACCTTCAACCCCTTCTCTGTGGTAAGTGCCGTGCTCTAGACAAGGAAATGCTCACTTCCTCACCTGCCCTCGGACAGCTCAGCTGGTCCTGCAGGGCTGGGATTCCAGCTCAGGCCTGTGGGCTCAGAAACGCAGGTTCTTGGGCCAGCACGGTGGCACAGTGGTTGTGTGCTCCACTTTGGTGGCCCAGGTTTGCAGTTCAGATCCCGGGTGCAGACCTACACACCACTCCCTCAAGCCATGCTGTGGTGGCATCCCACTTACAAAACAGAGGAAGATTGGCACAGATGTTAGCTCAGGGACAATCTTCCTCAAGCAAAAAGAGGAAGATTGGCAAGAGATGTTAGCTCAGAACCAATCTTCCTCACCAAAAAACAACAAAAAAACCCCCCAGGTTCTTTCCAGATAAACTAGTGGTTTTGAAACTGGCTTTTGTGGCGGTGCTTCAGAGGTTCTCTTTAAACATTTGCTTCAAATGTCATCTTCAATATTAAAAATCATTAATGTATATAGTCAACTGTAAAACACACGAGTTTAGGCTGCCTGAGACCTCACAGTAAGGCCTCCACAGCTGTGCTTGTGCGGGCTTCTCAGGGGTCGTTGATCAAGAGGGTTGCTGGCCTGGTGCTGTGATCTCCAGAACTCAATGCTAGAGGCTCTCACCATAGAATAATTTTAGTGTTTATTATAACCTTTGGGTGTTTCTTATCTGATATATGGAGGATAAGGACTGAAAACAGATGTTGGATATTCCTCTATTAATCGTTTTTTTAACGCTACTTCAGTTTTGTCAATAATAACCAGAGATTGCAGGCAAGCTTTGACTATTACCATTTGCAGCCACTTATCTGTATACAGTCAGGACTTTTCTCCATACCATACAAAGAGAACAAATTCAGAGATAAATTGGATGCTGAGACAGTTCATAACTATCCCACTTGCATTAGTCAAGTCACTCGCCACCCCACTGTTTTAAGACAATGTTATGACTTGAACTTAGAGGATTCATGCTAATAACATGGTTTTAGGTATGTGAAGGGTTAAAAAGAAAAACAAAAACACTGGATTATAAAAAAACCTTTCAATTTTGCTTAGGATGGAGAGGAGAGCTCATAGTTTAAGCCTTTTGATAGCAACTACTAAGCTCTTCTCCAAGATTTCTGGCTTGGCCAACTCAAAGAGAATCAGGTTAAAATAGCTATTTATCTAAGACAGTCTTCTGGAAGCCCAAGAGCACTGAAGGGGAGGGGTCAGAAGAGAATGTTTCTTATTCAAATTTTGCTGTTAATTTACTGCAGCAAAACCTGGGATAAGTCTTTGCTGCTCCCTGAGCCTCAGTTTCCTCAACAAAAAACCAGGAGGTCGGATTCAATCAATGATTTTCAGACTTTTATCTGAAGGACCAAACCCTTTCTTCAATCAGATCTTATCTGGACGTCTGATATGGCATGGGCCTAAGGGCTCCCTCTCCACAAAGGCCCCAAAGAACAGCAGGAAAACCACGGAACTCGATACTCTAAGGTCCCTCCCAGCCCTGAATGTCAGATTTCATATCCCCCGGTCCACCTCCTGGCCGGGCCCCTCCCTCTCTCCTGCACCAACTAAGGGGCTGAGCTGATTTATCCCTTGCACTGACTAGAGAACCACTGTGGCAACCCAAATCCAGGGCTGAACAACTGTTTGTGGGTGAACACGAAACATTTGTTTAGTTTACATGGTCACTGAGGCTACAGCAGAATCAATGCTGTTATAATAGGCAAGTAGTGTCAGCAGCAATACACAGTGTATTTCTTAAACAGCATCCAAGACTTGTGGGTTATATTTGCATTTTTTTAAAAAAAAATCTTATAAACCAATTGGGAAACAGTTAAAGGCCAATTTTAAATTTCACTGAAAATACAACTGAAATGCAACTGCTATGAGCAATGTAAGAAAAGTTGACTAAGAACTCGGATATGATAGACAAAACCGTAAGTGGTAAATAAAACAGCATAGCAGCATTTAAAAGCTTTGTAACTCCCATTTCAGAGGGTGCCCATTCCCCTTCCTCTCATGCCTCTGAACAACTGCCTAGCCTTGGCCAGGGAGGCAGCTGCTATCTGTACGGAATGCGTGGCAGATAAACTTTACACACAGGGGAGAGGAACAAAGGGCCCAGTGTGGCTATGTGCTGGGGACAGTGGCACTCATGTTTAAAAGTCAGAGGCTTAGGAGGGTCGCCTCCTATTCCTGCTCTTGTTCAAAGCCTCTCACACATTCTAGTCCTGCCCTTGAGATACCTTGTCAGTAACCTCAACTTAGAACAATGTTCTTAGAAGATGTAATTAGAAGTTAAAGAGCTGGGACTCCTGCCATGTTATCCAAAATACCAAATGGAGAGTCAGTCATTTTGCTCCACAGCCCAGGGCCCACTTAACTCTGCTGTTAGCCCTATCCTCAGCTAATGCAATCGGGTGGGTGCAGCTGCAGCCCTGGGGACAGGTCACTTGAACAGGCACCAGCAAAATGAAATCCTGCAACAGACCCTTCAAATCAGCCTCATTCTTAAAAGATCAATAGAGGTCAGCACCAGAGTTAACAACTTCAATAGGAATGGGATCTCCTAGCCTCGTGTGCAGTGGCCAATCATATCAGTTGTCTCAAGGACAGCAGCCTGTAATCTTATTCTAGGATATACCTTCAATTCTCATTTTGATATTTTTTAATAGTGGAAATCATTTAACAGATCCTCTGGCACCATTCTGTTTATTCCCCTTTAAATCTGCCACAGTACCTTTTTAATCCTTAGAATATTTGCTGACACAGAAATGAACAGTGGGCATATTAGCAAAATTACTAAAGAAAAAGCTTTCTGTATATCCTTACTAGAAAATCTCAGTGGATGAAGGCAGCCCTATCATCTGTGGACTGGGAATAATGAGCCCCAAGTACAGCACGAAGGGAAACATTGAGAGAGTGCCAGGCTAGGAAAGTTCAGGGATGAGGAGGACATCGAGCAGTTCAGGGCCACTGTTAAGTACCCCATTGCTTCAGACCAAATTCCTCCACGTGATGGCCTGAAGAAAGCTGGCCTTGTCCTTAAAGAACTGCTTTTCTCCATGTACAGCCATCGTCCATGGGGCAATTCTCTGCCTTTCAACTTCAACCTGCACCGTGCAGGTCTCACCAGCATCCTGGCTCTTCCTCCTCGTACTCCCAGCAGCTCCACACCCATGGCCCCTGACAGCCTCGCTAGGTTCTCCTAGTGTTTTAACTCGCTAAGGGCTAAACCATTAGACCTCAGGAACAATAGAAGCTGTGTAGACACACATTGGCTATGACACACTTTTCTACAAACTGATCTGAACGCAGCCTGGGCTCTATGATGGACTGAAGACAGCTGAAATGGTACCTTCTCCCAGAAGACAGGCTAATTCTGAAACACCTGCTGGATGGCACGCACAGCTTTCAGACTGGAACCAGCTGAGCTGTTTTTTTAAGTGCTTGTGTACTTTAGGCAGAGAGTACATCCATAAAGTGACCCTGGAACGCCTAAGCCAGAGTTAAAGCACTTCGGGGAGTTCTGAGCAGATCCTGTTCAGGGCCCAGCCAACTCACCACACAGATCTTGGGCTGACGACACCAGAGCTGGGCACCACTCAACACCAACCTTCCCTACAGAGGAAGTATGTAACACCGTGGGATGGGAAGCATACCCAGCAGCGATGTAAGGGAAAGAAAATCCACCCCTATGAAGAGCAGGAACTAACCAAGTGACTGGAAGCTATGGCCTTGCTCAGCTGGTTGCAGATCTAAGGAGCAGAGTTTCCTCCGTGTGTGTGGAGGAAGGAGCCCTCTAGTTATCATATCCAATTCAGTGTCTGCCCCCGAGGTCTCTGTTCTGCCCACCCATGTAAATACTTTCTAGCCACCACCACCCCCAACATCTCCTTTCACTCTCCCACCGCATGCAGGGTCTGTGCTTAACTGCCGCTACAGGTGCAGCTTGATGCCCCTGGGTGGGCTGGGGTTAGGGGGCCAAGGCACTTGCTGCCCTGAAATCAGAGCAGTAGCAAAAAAAGGAGCCTGGAGGCCAGAGATAGTTTTAATTACTCTTGATGCTCAGTTCTTCAGATAAGGAAGAACCACCCATTGTGAAGATGCCTGACTGCTTTGCCTTTTTAGCTGTGGAGATGTTAGGGGCAAAACCATCAAGGAAGTGTGTTTCACAGCTTGGGCATCATGGTGCAGCTCCTTGCCAAGGTCCAGAGTTGAAAAGAAATCTGTAGTTTTCCTTTGCCAAAGTTCAGTTTCCCAGCAGCACCTCAAATTGCTTCTGTGTAAAAGGGAAAAGGGATGGAGAGAGGACAGACCACAGGAAAAAGAATTAGAACATGTTAGCAAATGCTACCATGCGGAACACTAAACTTTATTCACTTTATTTATATATTTAACAGATCTAAAGTATTTACTTCTTGCTTTGACAAAAAATGAAAAATATAGGAGCACTGACTGACTCCTCTTTAGGAGAAAAGGGTTATATGTACAGCTACGGAGAGTTACGGTT